TTTGAAGGTAATAACAAGACGGTTCAAATGCTCCAAATGGAACTCAAATATTATTTTCCAGTCCAAAGTTATGAATTTTTAAGCATCCGAAAACCAGTGAAACGGTAAATCCACTATATAACGCATTTCAAGTATTTTGCGCTTTAGAAAATCTTCCTCACAAGATTAGCCTTCAACATGAACATATTAAATGGAGAAGACCTCAAGAAATTTCTAGTGACTGAAGAATCATTTCTAAACCATTTTGTGACCCCAAGTTGTGAATTTCTCAGCTTGAAACACATAATACTGAATTTTTGTCTCCACTATCTCAAATCAAATGAAACACTTGACTTTTTGCATAATTCATAGTATGTTTGAACGCGTAAGAGCTTGATATAACAAAGAATTGATATTTTGATGATTGGATAGCTTGGAACACATGCGGCGTGCATTAAAATGCGGAAAACCCTGAATTCTGCTTCACAATGTTGCTTAACAAAACAATTGATTTTTGCAACTCTTTCTTGCAGAGAAATGCCTTGATTCCATGAATACAGAACCTATGACATGTATGTATGAATATGATGATGAAGTATAAGCCAATTAGGGTTAAAATGAAAAGGGAAAATTTTGGGGTACAACACAAGCGTAACAACATAATGAAAAATTCAGCAAGGATGCGGGTTATAGAACCAAGCATCACCTTGAGGTGGTGTAGTTGGATGTGTATAGACCGACCCAAGTTAATTAGATTGGTTGCAATAAATACTTTGTTACATTCTTCGATGATCATAGTAGAAAACTACGGGCATACCTAATAAAGAGAAAGGACGGGGTCTTCGAAGTGTTCAAAAAGTTCAAGTCCATGGTTGAAAGGAAAATTGGACACAATCTCAAAGTTCTCAAAATGGATGGTGGATGTGAATATGTATCAAATGAATTTGGAAGGTTTTGTGTTCAAGAGGGAATTTGATCTACCATAAGAAAAATAAGACTTAGGAGTTAGTTGATCTACCAGAAGGAAAGTAGAAAAGTTAGGCACTTGAGAATTTGATGAAGTTTGAAATGAAGAATTATAATGTTGCCATTACTCTAGTTGAATCGAGGCTGCATTTGTTGAAGAATGAGGATGAGCAAGATGTTAATCCAACTCAGTATAAGAGGCTAATTGGATCCTTTCGTTACCTGTGCAATACATGACGGGATTTGGTGTTTATTGTCAGTATTGTGAGTAAATTCATGGAGAGATCGAAGGTGTCTCACTTAAAAGCAGTCAAGAGGATTCTAAAATACGTCATATGATTGATTGGCTATGGAATTCTTTTTGCTGTAACGGACACAAGCAGAAAATGAAATTTGCATAGTTTATCGATTCCAATTAGTGCGAAGATAAAGATGATAGAAAGTCTATAACTAGATACATATTTATGTTTGGTGAAACACCAATCTCATGATGTTTGAAGAAGGAATTAGTAGTAGCACTCTCTTCTTATGAGGCTGAGTATATTGTTATTTTGTTATGTGCGTTCCAAGCCGCGTGATTAATGAATTTGTTGAAGGAGCTAGGTAACGAGAAGGGTGACATTGTAACGCTCATGGTTGATGACATTTACACTATAAACCTTGCTAAGAACCCAATTGTACATGGGATGAGCAAGATATTGAGACGAGGTTTCATTTCTTGAGAGAACTTGTTAGTGAAGGAAGATTGAGATTGGGATATTATAGAAGTGAATACCAAGTGGCCGATTTTCTTATCAAAGGAGTCACAATTAAAGTGTTCAAGATATTGAAGATGAAAATGGGCATGAGAGACTTGGAGCACTTGAATTAAGGTTGTGTATTGTGAAAACATCAATAATTTAAGTGTTTTAATCAGTTACTGCATTATTGTAACTAGTTAAAAGTTGTAGAATATTTGACTGTTGAAACAGATGTAACCGTTTACTGTATTTTGATAACCCGTTACCACTGAGTTGATTTTAATTATAGAAACATTTCTAATCGGTTACAGGTTTGACATAATCGGTTACAGACAGTTAATTTCAATTTTTATGATATTTCAACTAATTGCTTGTGTCACAATCCATTGTATTTTTATATGTACCTTTGAGTTGTCATTAATTAAAGTAAATTAATGTGCATTATCACCCTAAGTTATTCTCTCTAATTCTCTCTTTCCATCTCCATACTCAATTACTCCATTATTCACCAACTCCGTATTTCCAAGTTCTAACAAATTTGACTCATTTAAAAAATTTACATGAATATGATGAATGTGAGTGCTCTTAACTAATTATGTTATTTACATGTTTAACCATAAGATTTTTCTTTTTTAAGTCTTACTTTAAATAAAACTTCCATTTAATATGAATCAGGTCTAACGATGAAACATACTATTTTTTATGATTTTTAATAAAATATTTTTAATTATAAACTTTTTGTTTATTAAAAATAGTAGATTCTATATATAAATCAAAATCTATAAAATATATTATTATAATTAAAAATAAAAACATGATATTTAATATATAGTTAATGTTATTATTTTGTAGGAAATTATTCACTACATGCGAAGAAAAAAAAGAATGTTGCCTTTAAGTTTATAAAGAAGACTTTTGATAATGTTAATTGGGTGTTCCTCATAAGTTGTTTGTTGAACTTTGAATTTCTTAAGATCACTATTCAACTCATTATACACTACATCACTTGTCATCTTAATCTATTTTATGGAATGAGAATAAGATACATGTGTTTAAGCCTTTTTAGTCTTCGACAAGGGATCCATTACTTTCCATTTCAACTACTACCAATTCTTCCACTTGAAATTCTATTGTCAAAGCAAATGATGTGCTAAAAGATGGGTTTGATTCGAGGCCTAGGTCAGGGCTCCTCCTCTTTCTACTATATCCCCTAGACGTATTCTGGTCCATTGGCTTCTCTTGTTGAGTATGTTCACATCCATGACATTAATCTACTAGTTAAATATTTCTACTCAACGACATCGTCCCACATCCATCACTTGTATACTCACTCCTTCAAAATATCATCACTAACATCACCACAAAAATTCCTAGCTTCAATCCCAATACAAAAGATGTCTTTATTCGGTTTGATCACATAAATTAAACTTTCAATGCTAAGAGTGATTACACTTGGATCATTTACAACAAATAAGATTTACATGATTGTATCTTAGATCCTCAACCATGGAATTGGATTTGGAAACTTTCCCTAAGTTCCTCTTTTGACTTGCTTATGACTACTTTGTTCTTACTTTCTCTCTTCTCCATCATCATAACAAGGTCCCCTCGATTTTGTATTTCATATGTGGCTTAGAAGATAAATCATTCCTTCATTTTGTTCGTGATTGTAGGGATTCTAGAAACCTTTGGTTGTATCTTGGGTTTAATCATCTATATTTTTCATCACTCGAGATGGAAATGTTTGTATAAAAAATAAGAGTAGTAGTATTCGCCATAACCCCTTTTTCGCATGGGTTTGATGGGTTTGGAGAAACTGTAACTCAACATACAATCTCTTGAAACCATTCCCAGATATTGATTCTCCTTAGCTACCCACTCCATAGCACACTCCTTTCTCTTTTACTCCACTAAACCTCAAATAAGACACTCAGACAACTGATCCATTAAGTCACATATGTATAATACAGTCTTGGTCTCACAAAAATGTTTTATTTTACTTGTGCATGATTGCTATAGAAATGACTAAATATACTAATTTTAATAATAAAATTAAAATTATTTATTAAAATAATTATTATCATCTGTAGTTAGTAGAGTAGCTAAGTGGATTGAAAATGAATAAATAAGATATAGTAATAAAAAAATTTTACAGATGGGATAATAAGTTGTGTTGAATGTGAGTAGTTACAAGGCAGACTACAACCAATGGGTATTGAATTTCAAACCAATTGCATAATCAACATTATAAAATGTTAATGAAGGTGGTGAAAAGAAGATAGAGACACTGTTGTTGGTGTTGTTTTGCCTTTAAAAAGTGACAAGTTATTGGTATCGTCATGCAGTTGAATCATTTAAATAAATGCATTATCTCATCTATCTATATTAATTAACCAACAAGTTTTGGCTCCCTATAACCCATCAATAAAAGTATTGGCTCCCTATAAAATATTAAAGAAGTGATTAAATAGCAACTTTATAGGTGGGGTGATGTTTCATAATTTGTGGACGGGGTTAAATCTAGCTACCAATCTTCAGGTTCCTTTTAAAATTTTGGTGGTACTCTTATTTATTTGGTATTATCTTTAATTAAGTATGTAATTAATTATTTCTTATTTTCTGTAGTAGGATGATTCAATAGATAGTTTGCAAAGAGGAACATCGCATCCGGGTAGTAAATTTAGTTTGTCTAATTCAAGGAGGAGGAAACTTTCTTCATTGAAGGAGTATGAACAAAAAAACATCACAAAAAAGGGAAGATAGAAAAAATGCATTAAATTTGAAGAAGATATTCTAAGGAATGGAGGAGCACTTGTTTTAAGTAAATGTCACTATAAATTTTCATTGTCTAATTTTTTACAAAATTTTTTTTTACATATTTGATCAGTTACTCGTCTCTTAACAATCAGATCTCTCACCATATTATGATCCTAATGGTTTTTGCCTAAATTTTTCTTCTTATTGATGAGGCTTGTTTTGTGGGTTACCAACCAATTAATTATGATGTGTTTGAAAAAAAATCAGAACAATATTTCTGAATGCAATAACAATAAACCAAGAACTCACGAGCATTCTCACTTGCTTCCCCCATAAAGAAAACATACACATCACCCACCTTGCCAACTCACACCTCCTATTTCACAAACTGTACTTCCCATTAGCTGTGCAAATATCTGCATTCATCACCAATTCACGAGCCTATTTAACACACTATCTTTCATCACTTGTTCACAATCCACCACAAAACCTCTCATTTAACATTTTCACATACATTCTAACATCAAAACTCCAAAAACTCCATAAACTATATTCCACATGTCTACTAAACATTTCATAACCCTTCTAGCTCTATCCTTTCTTCTTTCACTAAACTCCCTACACACCATCATGGCTGCAAGGACCATTCCTAGTAGTGCTCCTAGCACTGTCACAAGGCCACTTTTTTCATCTCAAGCTGAAAATTATTTGAAGCCTCATTTGGATCATAAGCAAGGATTCTTCCAAGGGAGACAAGTTAAGAATTGTTTGCCAAAAGGGTATAGGCATAACTCAGCTCCAAGCAGATTTGTTAACTATGATACATTAGGTGGATGTTCTGGAATCCGTTCGGAGAAACCATGAAACATGTTTTGATGAAGGGAAGAGATTTTATTATTTTTTTATATGGTTGTTTTTAATATATGGTTGGGTGATATTATATAAGAAAATTTATTATTTTTGTTTTGTTTGGTTTATTGTTATTTGATATATTGTTAACTATAACAATTTTGAGAGATGAGCATAGATAAGTACTTTTGTTTCAGTTATATGTGTGTATTTTTTAATTATATTTAAATAAATAATAATACAAAATATTTATCGGTTTTATTAATGACTAATTTCTGTCGAGGAAATTGAATTGTGAAATAATTGATAATAATGTGATAGTTTTAATTTTACCAAGAAATCATCATTGTTTTTGTAATGCGTAAATTTCTACTATCATTACACTATTAATAATGTAAAAATATATGCGTACCAAGTAGAGAACTATTTATAACATGTCTTTGAGTTACGATTATAAAATTATTAGATTTGTACTTTTTTTTCCAATAAAGAATGAACATCTTCTTTCGCCCAATGTTCATTCAATTGGAAGATACTATTTGTTAATATGAAATGTCCTATGATTTCTTATGGGAGGTCTATAGTCTTCGATTCTTGGAGGAAAATTGATCTCGCCCTTCCTACTTGTTTGTAGGGATGGTTCGAACGGTCATGATAAACTTTTGAACTAAGATGCAATATATTATTGGTTCTCTCTTTAGTAATGATTGAAAGTGTAATTTCTTGTATTGAAGTATGATGTTGTTTGATATGAGCTGTGTCAAATTAATCTAGATAGTGTGTTGAAGAAGTTGTTTTATACAGATTTGATTTAGATTTGATTCATATTTGATTTAGTTCCAAAATAGATATTTTAGGCTTTTATAATTTTGGGTTTTTGCCTTAGGGAGCAAATTAACCTAAATTTATAAATAGAGGGAGTAATCCCTATTTTTTTGTAATCAATCAAGTTGTATTCACAGAATTTGCAGTTAGAAATGAATATGAAGTTTTCCACATTTTTTGGGCAGAGAGAAAGTCTCCAGAAAATCATTGTCTTCTTTTCTATCTTTCTTTCATATTTTTCATCGTTATTGTGTGGTGATAACAATCTTGTTCATCAAGATTGATGAAATTCATCATAGACATTGGTGGATTTCCAACATCTGGTATCAAGAGCTTTAGTTGAGCGATCAAGGGAAGAAGAAGAAAATCAATGGTGATGAATTATGCTAATGGAAATTTTCCATCAAATCTCCCAATTCTGAAAGGTGATGACTAAGAGAATTTGTGCAAACAAATGAAGGTTATATTCTATTTTTAAGGTCTTTGGGAACTTGTGAAATATGGATTAGAACTACTTGATGAAAAAGCTTCAGAATCATATGAGGCGGAATACAAAGAATCGAAGAAGTAGAATTATAAAGCTCTCTTTATAATAATTCACCAATGTGCCAGCCCAGAAATTTTTTAAAAGGTTAGTGATGTAGAATCTATAAAAGAAGCTTGAGAGATTCTCAAGAAATCGTTTGGAGGCGCTGAGAAGGTGAAAGACGTGAGATTACAAAACATATGAATTGCTTCAGATGGAAGATGGTGAAATCATATCTAATTTCTTCACTAGGGTTACAAAACTAGTGAATCAAATTAAGGCTTGTGGAGAAACGTTAACAACAAGAGTTGTTGTTTCAAAGATCTTAAGATCTTTAGCTCCGAAGTTCGACCATGTGGTAGTTGCCATAGAAGAGTTAAAGGACATGTCATCTTTATCGAAAGAAGAGCTTCAAGGGACACTTAAATCTCATGAACAAAGAATGACTAAAAGAGTTGCAGGAAAACCAAAGAGTGATGTGGTTTTGCAGGTTCAATCCGCAAAAGATAAGAAAGACAAAGAGAAGTGGTTCGACAATAAAGGTAGAGGTGGCTACAATAATTTGACTGGTAAAGAAAACCAGCACAAAGAAAATGTGTCGAATCATAGAAGACCATACCAATGAAACCAAAGAGGTGGTGTTGCAAATAGAGGAAGATGTGGTGTTCGAAAACCAGACAAGAGTCACATTCAGTGTTACAATTTTCAGAAGTATAGTCACTATTCGAGTGATTGTCCATAGAAGCGAAAGAATCAAGAAAGTGATGTGAAATTCGCAAAGTATGAAGAAGAAGAGATGTTGTTGATGGTTACAACAAGAGATAAAGAAAAGTTCAAGAATCAATGGTACTTGGGTTCAGGATGTTCATCACACATGTCTGGAAAAAAGATTGGTTTGTCAACCTAAAACCTTCAATAAAGAACATGGTAAAATTTTCTAATGACAATACTCTAGCAGCTGAAGGTATTAGAGATGTTCTGATTATGAGGAAAGATGGCAAGAGGTTAGTAATTTCCAAATTGCTGTACGTTTCAGGCATGAAGAACGACTTGCTCAACATAGGGTAGTTGGTCGAAAAGAATTACAAAATGTCGATCAAGACAAGATGATGAGAGTCGTCGATGCAAATGGAAGATTAATCTTGAAGGCTCCTATGTCTCAAAATAAAACCTTCAAGGTCGAACTTAATGTGATGGAGCACAAGTGTCTTTCGATTGCAGCTAGCAAAGACGAATGGATATGGCACTATCGACTAGGCCATCTCGACTTCTGAGACATCAAAGATTTAAAGAGAAAAAATATGATTTTATGATTTCCAGAGATTGACATTCCAAATGAGGTATGTGAGGAATGTGTGCAGGCGAAGCAACACAAGAATAGCTTCAGCAAGGATGCAGGAAGCAAGTCGTAGGCTATTCTTGAAGTCATATACTTTGATGTATATGGACCAATCCAAGTGGATTCATTTGGAGGTAATAAATACTTTGTTACATTCATAGATAATTTCAGTCGAAAATTATGGACTTACCTGATCAAGAAGAAAAGTGAAGTGATAGAGGTATTTACCAAGTTTAAATTTATGGTCGAAAGGAAAATTGGGCGAAAGCTCAAAATTTTTAGAACTAATGGTGGTGGAGAATATGTGTTGCAAGATTTCGACAAATTATATGAAAAAGAAGAGATTGTGCATGAGGTGGTGCCACCCTATACTCCACAGCTGAATGGAACTGCAGAAAGGAAGAATCGAATCATCATGAATATGGTGAGAAATATGTTGAAAGGCAAGAATTTACCTAAGGAATTTTCGGTTGAAGTTGTGTTTACTGCAACATATATTTTGAACATATGTCCAATGAAGAATCTAGAAGGAATTACTCCAGAAGAATGTTGGTCTGATGTAAAACCTAGTTTGAGTCATTTGAAGGTATTTGGGTCTATAGCACATAGACATGTGCCAGATCAATTAAGAAGAAAAATTGATGACAAGTTGAGTCAGATGATCCTAGTAGGATATCATTCGATAGGAGGTTACAAGTTGTTCGACCCAGTGAACAAGCAGATTGTGATTAGCAGGGACGTGATCATAGATGAGCTTAAAGAATGGGATTGGAATGAAAAATTCAAGAAAGATTCAGTAAGAATCTTACTTGAATAACCAGAAACTCAAGTCGGAAAAGAATTTTGACAAGAGGAATTTATACAAGAGGAGGTTAAAGAAGAAACAAGTGCAAGCAGACCTTAAAGAAAAAGATGCATGCCTGCAAGGTTGCAAAATTGTGTGATTATATTAGATGATGTAGTTGATAATGAAGGTGAGCTGATACATTATGCTTTCTATACAAATGTCGAACCTGTAAATGTAGAAGAAGAATTGAAGGATTTTAAGTGGGTGAAAGAAATAAATTAAAAAGTGAAGTCCATCAAAGACAACAACACTTGGTCACTTGTCAATTGCCTCAAGGCAAGAAGGCAATTGATGTCAAATATGTATACAAAGTAAAGACGAATCCCAAAGAGGAAGTAACTTGACACAAAGCAAGGCTCGTGGTGAAAGGATTTATCCATAAAGAGGGAATAGACTTTGTTGAAGTTTTTGCACCTGTGGCTAGAATTGAAACAATCAGGTTGGTTGTTGGTTTAGCAGAAATAAATAGTTGGCACATATGTCAGGTGGACGTGAAGTGTGCATTCCTGAATGGACCCTTATATGAAAAAGTTTATGTTAAATAACCAATTGGGTTTGTGAAGCATGGAGAAGAGAGAAAAGTGTATGGGCTGCATAAAACCCGGTATGGATTGAAGCAAGCTCCAAGAGCTTGGAATAAGAAGATTGATAATTTTCTAAGGGAGAAGGAATTTGTGAAGTGCACAACTGAACATGGAGTATATGTAAGAAGTTGCAATAGTGAATCACCTATATTATGTCTCTATATCAATGCCTTGTTAATAACAGGTAGTTGCAAGAAGGAGATTGGAGACTTCAAATGTGATCACAACAAGGAGTTTGAAATGTCTAATCTAGGTGACATTTCGTATTTCCTTGGCATTGAATTCTACAAGAGTAGTAGAGGTTTAATGGTACATCAAAGAAGATATGCAAGTGATTTTTTCAAGAGATTTGAGATAGAAGAATGCAACTCAATTTCGACACCTGCAGAACCAAGACTGTCATTGTCAAAAGATTCAGAAGAAGATGATGACGACCCAACCCAATACAGAAGACTTATTGGGTCATTAAGATACATTTGTCACACAAGGCTTGACTTAACATACAATGTAGATATGGTAAGTAGATTCACGCAGAAGCCAAAGGTATCACACCTAGCATCAACGAAGAGTATATTGAGGTATCTGAAAGGAACTTTCGACTATGGCATTCTGTTTCCAGCAAATGATAAAGGAAAAGAGTGCAAGTTAGGGGGATACACTAACTCGAGTTGGTGTAGTGATGCTGGGGATTAAAAACCCACACCAGGATATGTGTTTATGTTAGGTGGTGCACCAGTTGCTTGGAGTTAGAGAAAGGAACCAATAATGGAATTATCATCATGTGAAGTAGAGTACATATTTGCTTCTCTTTGTACATGTCAAGAAACATGGACTCTGAACTTGGTCGAAGAGATAACATGTAAAGATCATGGAGAAATTGCCATGAAGATCGAC